GGTATTTGTTGTGGCTGTTTTAGATATTGTAATAGTTCTTCCTCTTTGAATGGATCCCGGGGATCAAGCGTTATTTTTGAGGGTCTTTAGGGATATGCTTCAGTAGCTTTCCGGTTTTTTCATAGATTTTGTTTTTTAATTGAATTCATTGTGCTTCCTTACCCATATTCTCAGCACTGTTTCAAGCTGTCAAGCTTGTTTTTACTTCTCTTTTACACCTCTGCTTTTTTTAACAGGACTTCCCTTTTGTACTGGAAGTGGATGTTTTTATGGTTTTATTTGCGGCCCCGAAACTGCTTCCTTTTTTTCTTTACGAAGCAAAGCCTATGCCTGAGCTGCTGGAAAGTTCGGCTTATTCACGATATTTACTTAAGTTTGGTCAGTCTGGACGCTGAGCGCTCAAATTTGGGTTATTGAATATGCAACACCACAATCTTCTTGACTTTAGTTTTCTTTTCCTTTTTTACGAACTTATTGGTTACTGCATTCCGGATGACTGCCGTCCTACGGATGTGCTATTCATAGTCACCTTGTAGGACAGGTACTGCCTTTGCTGGTCTCTGAATGTTCCTGCCTCTCAGTTACTAGCCTTTTCCTTTTCTCTACAGAGTCTTTACGGCCCGTATTGCCTTCCACTTTACTGAACCTCAACTGCCTTGTTCTCGAGGCACAACGTCTAGGACGAAGTGGTGATGCTAGGAACAGCCCAGGATGAAGAACGAATTGCTTCTCAGGTGGAAAAACCGCTGAAATTTCTTGCATGGAACTTTTTTTCCGAGCCGGGCTCCATCCTTTATCTTTAGCTAAGCCTTAGATCACCGAATTGTTCCTTGTCGTTTGGGGAAATTATTGCGCAAATGCATTGACTCAGGGTAACTACCAAGTTTTGCTTGGAGGTAGAATTGGAAACAAGGCTGGCAGTTCATGGACCGAAACACTTCTTACCATTACAATAATAATCTCACAAATTTTCTAATTTTCATTTCTTGCCTTCCTTTTCTTTTTTTTCTCATTCTTTCCTATTATAACTTTCTGTTATGATGCGGAGGAGGGGGGGGGGAAGAAAAACTATTTTTACAGTGACTTTTTTTTTAAATTTTCTAAATATTCAAAAATAAATGCAAACTTTGATGTGATCGTACGCGCTGCGCATGCGTCCGCGACAGCTGAATTTGAAATCTTTAGCTCGCACATTCCATGAATTTTTGATGTACAGGATGTTAGATAATACTAGGGAAGAAGTTAGCTTCCTTTAATGCGGCATCTAGAACTTTTTACCTAAACAAAAGATCCAGTACCACGATTTTTGTAGCTCAAATCCAGACCTAAAAATGAGTGCATATTGAGGGTGGCCGAGCCGAATTTCCGTAGCTGCCTCGGCTCAAAATCCTTGGCTATCTGTTAAGTTATTCGCTGTGTTTTATTCCGTGCTTCATTCTTCAGTTTTTGTTTCAGCATTGCGCGGCGGCGACACTTCAGGTTGCTGCGAACGTAGGGTGAACGAAATGTCGTGGCTCTGGGACTGGGTCTCCGGCATGCTTAATTATCTTGGTGAGTGCTTTTTTTTATTGGAACTGTATTTTTGCATGTACTTTTGAGGCCGGACCATATTTTCCATGGTCCGGACTGGCCGTTTACTTCAGAAATTACGGTTCGACCTACCAAAGGCTGCAAATTATTTATCAGTGCAACAAACTTGGGCTGCTTCGCTTGAACCGTCCACTTATGTTTCGACCTTCTAATTGCTGTTATTTATTATTATTGTTATTATTATTACCATTATTATTATTGTCGTCGTCATCATTATCATTATTATTATTTATTATCGTTATCACTGTCATTATTGTTATCATTGCTATTATTATAAATTAAAAAGAAATCGAAAAGAGAAGCAATGCTTGAGCGGAAGCGAAATGCGAAAGATAAGCACGAAGTAGTATAAAGTTTTGGTTAAGTTCCAAAACAGAATTTTCACGAAACCCTTCGGTCAATATTTCACGGTCTAGTTTTGAGAGTTGGAACGCTTTGGGCTGTGAATTCCGTACTTTAAGATATTTGCAACTGAGATTTTTTGGTGATCCCCTCCTGAAATTCATGCTTTTTTTTTTCTTTGTGGTCCTATTTTTTCGATGATACTCCTGAAACCTATGTTTTTCGCTTTGTTTCTGAAACCTGTATTTTATAGATGCAGAAATTCATTAAACATTATAGAGCATAGTTTTTTAAAGTTTGAGAAATACAGTAGCAAGTGCAATTTAACAGAGTGCTAGTATAAGGATTTTAGGCCCAGAATCGTTTTTAATCAGCCGAAAGATGTGGATGCAGTCAGGAATGGTTTACCTTTGTGCTGTCAGCACAAATCGTCCTTCTCTCATATTTTTCTTTCATGGTGTAATAATCTATCGCGCCTTCGCCATTTAGGCTTCTAGGGTCGACCTTAGGAGGTTAATATTCGCAGTATTTAAGAGAAAATGAAAGAAAAAAAGAAAAATCCTAATTTACTCATAATTTTTGTTCGGTCTATGTATACAGCTAGGGGAAGAAACACAAACTGCGTCATAAAATGTCTTTAAACAAATGACATTCAAGTGAAATTCTTCTATTCTTCTATTTTAGGACTAACAAAGAAAAATGGCAAATTGGTATTCCTCGGATTGGATAATGCGGGAAAAACGACACTTCTGCATATGCTAAAAGGTGGTCACATGGGGCAGCACGTCCCGACATTTCATCCAAGTAAGTAACCATCCAGAAAGTAATGTATAGTGTGTAGATTATTTCGATTAC